TCCACTACTCTAGAATGATTGCTTGCTAGACCATGCACAGCTGTAAAATTGCTTTTCATTAATTTTCAACAAACTGATGGACCATTTAAAATGATTCTCTGTGGTAATTGACCTGAAATCATATCATATTTTTAATAATAACTTAAGCTTAACTTCTAATATTGGGATTCTTTGGAATAATATGCTGAGCGGCAGGTTCCCCAGACTGTGCAAAACAAGTTTCTAATCATGCAGCAGGCATTACATGCATTGACATGTAAAGGTGGTTGGTCGTTTGCTGATGCATCTGTGTGACGTCCAGGGATGGGTCAGGATGATGCAGACTAATTATACAATGCTTTCATCATAGAATAATTCAGTCATTCAGAAATGTTGTTGCTATGCACATTCTTAGTGACATCACAAAGTTGCAGACATTAAAAAAAAATCTGTTGATGAAGTTTTAAGTTCTGTAAGTTTTTAGTCTTGCTCTTATCTCATATCAAGAAAATAAGGACTCCTCTTAGTAAAGAACAGTAGATGGCGTGCATGGATTCGTGGATTGTCTCATCTTCAGACCTGTGGAACTGATTGAAGCACCCACTGAAGCTGAATGGTGTGTGTCTGTCCTGTAGATGAGGGCAGTAAGGTGTGTGACGGGGCTGTCAGCAGCTGCGGAGGGGATTCGCTGTATCTTTACGAGGGTCAGGACTGGGTCATCTCCCCCTCCTGCTCTCTAGAGGAACCCAGCGCCATCTCACCCATGCTGGCCGAGGAAACCTTCCGCTACATGAGTAAGTCTGTTCATGTGTTTGAATGTTTGGTTGCTATTTCTGTCGTGATTGCCATTGTTGGGGAAGCTACTTTAAAACTGTAGCCTCCCAAAATACAAGCTACTCATAATTAATAGAGTTAAACGACAGTCAGGTTGCAGTTGACTGTAGCTTGTTAAGTTTTTTGTGATTAGTCTCAAATAGGCTGTGTTCCTGAAAATATCAGGGATTTTTAAAACTAAAAAATAAAAGAATTTTAAGTTAAGGAGTTATAGACATTTCTTTGGTTCTTGTTATCTAGTTGCAAATTGCTCTTTTTTTACTCTGATCTCTGTAAAATATCCTTATTTATAAATATCCTTATCTAGGCTTGTTGTTTGGCCCAAAGATTTATGATATTCAGAGTTGTTTTTTTAATCATATTTTGATTAAACATTGACAAGGTCAAAAAATGTTTTAAAAAGGAAGCGTATGCATTGATGAACTGTTTACAGTAAAATCAATAACATGCATTTAGAAAACACATTTGCATTTAATGCCAACTTTGAACTTGAACAGGTCAATTTAAAATAAAGCATATAAACCTTAAAGGAACACTCCACTATTTTTGAAAATAGGCTCATTTTCCAACTCCCCTAGAGTTAAACAGTTGAGTTTTACCGTTTTCGAATCCATTCAGCCGATCTCCGGGTCTGGCGGTAGCACTTTTAGCTGTAGCTTAGCATAGATCATTGAATCTGATTAGACCGTTAGCATCTCGCTCAAAAATGACCAAAGAGTTTCTATACAGCTACAGCTGCGTAATATCATTGCGCCTGCTGCACCCAAGGTACAGCAGCAAAGTTCCTTGATTATTACGCCAGAATGAGAGTATAGTTCCTAGCCATATCGGCCTAGAAAATCTAACTTTTCATTTTCCGTCGGTCTTAGTACACGATGTAACTACAGAAGAGTCAAGTTTTAAATAGGAAAAATATAGAAACTCTTTGGTCATTTTTGAGCGAGATGCTAACGGTCTAATCAGATTCAATGATCTATGCTAAGCTACAGCTAAAAGTGCTACCGCCAGACCCGGAGATCGGCTAAATGGATTCGAAAACGGTAAAACTCAACTGTTTAACTCTAGGGGAGTTGGAAAATGAGCCTATTTTCAAAAATAGTGGAGTGTTCCTTTAAAGGGTTGAAGCATTTAGCCCTGAAATGGACAGTAAATACTTTTTTATTTTTTATTATATTAGCTTTAATTTTTTTATTACTTAGATTTTCAACTTTTATTTCTCAAACTTAATGTTATTTAGAATGTTTTTGCTTTTATTTTTCATTTTTCATTTGTTTTTATTACAGTTCAGTTTTTATTTTCCAGGATGCATTGCCCATATAAACAGAATAAATAATTCATGTTTGTTATAGGTTAATTTACATACTGTCAGAACGAATTAAAATCAATTAAACTTTCTGATGTTACATAAGGGAGAAAGAGGCATTTTAGGACAGCATGTTTGTTTTTTAACCTCAGTTTGCTCGGCAGTAAAACTGCGTGTGTACATAGTGATAAAATATATTGACTGTAATTATTATAATTATTTCATATCATTTGAATTTTAGGTTACACTTTATTTTAAGGTGTCCTTGTTACAGTGTAATTATACATTTAAGTACTGAGTAATATTAATTAACTACATGTACTTACTATATGATTAGGGTTTGGCTTAGGGTAACCTGCGTGTTATTATGCATAATTCATTGTTATTATAATAGTAAGTACATGTAACATGTGTAACAAGGACACCTTAAATTAAAGTGTTACCGAATTTTATATAATTATTTTTGTAATTAATAATTTTGTAACAGGACACTGTGGGAAAAGTGGCTTGTTACTGACAAATCTACATTATTTTGAAAACAGCTGAGCTTCTATCACGCCTTTGAAACATGCAGTTAAGCTAGTAGCATTGCTGCTATTGCCCTACACTGGTGTGCATATGCTTGTGTGTGTGTGTGTGTGTGTGTGTGTGTGTGTGTGTGTGCCCGTCCCTGGCAAGGGCACAGGAATTCAGTGGTCAGGTCTCTTAAGTGCAGCTGACAGCAGAGCTGGCGGGAGGGAGAGGGACAGATGGATGGATAGAAAGAGGAGAGGAGAGAAGAGCAGTCATGCCGGTGCTAAACATACAGAATGAGGAGCTTTATGATCAATATGCTGCAGAAGGTGAGACCATATCGAGATGCGTACATGCACTGAGCATGTGTGTGAGCGTGTTTTATTTTGAAGTATCTGTGCCGATCACAGACACTACAGGACAATGCAAGGTCATCTATAACGGACAGGGCATGTGGGGTGAACTCACGTCTGTGTGTGAATGCAGTATGTATTGTGTGTGTCTGTTTGCGTCGCTGCATGAAGGCATTGTTGAATGTTTCCTTTGACTTCTTGTGGCAGTTTTGTTGAGGGCATGTGCTGCTCATTTCTGCACTGTGTACAGGAAGTGGAGGCTCATGTTTCTCTGCGACCAACAACTTGTGCTGATGTCATCTTTAAGAGTCGGTCAGTGCTGACTAATAGGGCTGTCACGATTATGAAATTTGGCTGCGATTATGACGATTAATTGCCTGTTTTAGGGCTTTGTCATAGGGCTTTTGTGTGACATACAGTCATGCCTTTCACATTTAGCAGATTGGAGCTGTGCGATGTTTTAAAAAAAAACACACACACTCTAAGTTTTGAAACAGAGCAATTTTTTTCAGTTCCTATTATGACTGTGTATATTTAAAGGGAAAGTTCACTCAAAAAAAACAATTTTTTTTTTCATTTGCTCACCCTCAAGTAGTTCCAAACCTGTATGAGTTTCTTTCTTCTGTTGAATATGAAAGAAGATATTATGAAGAATGTGGGCAACCAAACAGTTGCTGGTCCCCATTGACTTCCATAGTATAGAATAAAAAATACTATGGAAGTCAATGGGGACCAGCAACTGTTTGGTTGCCCACAATCTTCAAAATATCTTCTTTTGTGTTCAGCAGAACTATCCCTTCAACTACACAAACATCAGGTCAGTGGGTTCATCAAGAATTTTTTTTAGATTGATTTGAAGTCAGTGTTCATTAGTCCTATTGATTTGATTCATTAACAGATCTGGTCCATAAGAGCCATTTGTTCATGAATCATGTTCTAATCAGGGGTCAGAGTGGACGGGCTCTCATGTACCTGCTGGACCACTAATGAGTGAGGGAGAGTCTTTAGGTTTCCTCTGAAAAGAGGCGAAAACAGTCAGAGACATGCTGAGACTTTTTGCCCTAGTTTTAGGATGATGATGTGATACTAAAAATAAACTGAGAGGGATAGAGGGGGCAGATGGAGGCTATTTCAGGTTTATAATCGGAGGGTTGAACATGAGAGGCCATGAACAAGAGCACAAAGTCATATTTTAAAGATTGAGAGGCATAATAGAAAATCCCAATACACCATTTACCAGCTTATTGATGAAAACCTAACATATTTCATAATAGCCAACATTTTCTGTAATGTTTGTAGTAGTAAGATTATAGTAAAACCATAGATGGCTCCTTATTACCATGGTTTAATTAATGTAAGTCTATATAAACTCAACTGGCAATTTTCACAAAAATCCCATAGCCATTACAGTACATTTTTTATGCGAAATCAGTTAATAGTCAGTTATTTAGTGTTTTATATTCAATTATGTCTAATCTAATTAATTCAAAGTCAAATCAGTTGCATTTAACAGATTAGAGCTGGGAGTTTTTTTCTGCAATTACAGCTAATCTAATTAAATCAATTTCAAGTCAAATCAGATTCTTTTTATATCTGTAATAGGCAGTGCTATTTTACTATTATTTATACACTATATATATATATATATATATATATATATATATATATAATTTTAAATATTTTGCAACTAACTGCATTTATATAAGTTAAAGTTTTTCATCCAATATTAATATTTTATTGCAAATTTATTTCATTTACCAAAAATGATCTTTAATAGTTTTAATTGTATTTTAGTTAACAATAACAGCACTGGTAATAGGATGAAGGGTCACTCAAGATTGCAGGTCAAACATTCATTTTTCACTGTTATTGTGTTCTGTCGTCGTTACATGCTTTTGCAAAATCCCAGGTCCCTCATTTTGTCTGTTTTAGAAATTTGCAGCAAACTGCAATGGCTTCTGTGATAGTAGAAGTGAACTGACCGTACTGACACCAGCTGATGGTTTACTGAGATCAACGGTCTCCACAAGTCTGTGATTACGAATGCGTCACTTATTGCTGAGGTTTGTTCATGACACTTAGTTTATATAAGGTCGTCTGAACTAGATCGAGCGGATCAGAGCATCTGTGGCATGAGTCAGGAGTGTTTTTGAGGCTTGCTCAGTTCATGTGTTTTGTGTGGTAATGGACGTTCAGTCAGTTTGGGTTTGGACAGAGGAATGTGTTGAGCAACAGCCGCGACGGAGATTCTTCATCTGAGAGAGATGCACTGTTAGATTCATAAGAGATGTGTGTGTGTGTGTGTGTGTGAGTGTGTGTATTAGAGAGAGCTGGAGATTGAGAATAAATCATTTCAGTGATTGTATTTGGAATTTTGATGAATGCATGGAAATTTAGCATGTAAAGATGTACACTACTATTCAAAAGTTTGATTTAGATTTTCTTTAAAGAAATTAATACTTTCAATCAGCAAGGATGCATTACATTGATCAAAAGCGACAGTAAAATACATTTATAATTTTACAAAAGATTTATATTTCAAATAAACGCTCTTCTTCTGTTCGTCAAACAATCCTAAACTAACATGTATCACAGTTTCCACAAAAATATGAAACATCACAACTGTTTTCAACATTGATAATAATCAGAAATGTTTCTTGAGCAGTAAATCAGCATATTAGAATGATTTAAGACTGGAGTAATGATGCTGAAAATTCAGAAAACAGTTATTTTAAATTGAAATAATATTTCCCATTATTACTGTTTTTACTGTATTTTATAATCATATAAATGCAGCCTTGGTGAGTATACAAGACTTCTCATTTGCACTCATTCTTGTTATGCTGATGAGCTAGATATTAATATATATAGAGTTAGGTTAAAGTTTGGATATTTACAGCAGGTTAAATATTTACCTATCATTGTTTACTTGGCTGTAGTTTGGAGGCAGATCTCCTGTGTGTTTTATTTAAAGTCTAGTTAAATGTAAGTGTTGGTCATAAAGCAGATAATCTCTTAATCTGTGTTTCAATCTAAATGATCTGATGGTGACTCTGATTACAGGAGAATATCCTCTATTATATAACATAAATCATTAGCATACATTACTGTTACTGCTGTATGAGTGTTTATCATTCAACAGAGTCTATTTGGTCTTTACATTTCTTTGGGTTCATCATGAGTACTAGCGGCAGCAGATTATTACTGTAACAGATCAAGAGAGGACAATGGCAATAGCGATTAACTTCAGTAAGTAAGAATGGATTGGTTTCAACATTCAGCATGAACTCTAGCTCTGACAATTTTCAAGAAGATCTTTTCAAGACTTGACTGTGGTTTGCTAGTGCAGAATTCATAAAACCATTTACACTAAATGAACTGATCCACAGCATAAGCTCCAGTGCGTCCTAGGTACATCTAGGTAAACGTGTGTGTGCGTGTGTGTGTGCGTGCGTGCGTGCGTGTGTGTGTGTTAAAACCTAATGCGACTGCATTTATTTTAATCCAGGAGCACTCACGGGACAGTGACTGCTGTCAGGTGCTTCATTACTCCTCCTTTATCCCTCTCTCTCTCTCTATGCTGGTCATGGTGTTTCTCATTTTCTCCATCAGTGGATGTTTAGCACAGTTCCTCAGCATCTAATTTCTCTTCTTCTGTCCTCTCTCTCTCTCTCTCTCTCTCGTTCTCTTTCTCTCATTCCCTCTGCAGCATTTCTAGCTGTTGGTTCCTCTTCTCCTCATAATGGCTCTAACAGCCTCTCTAAAGGTAACACGTGGTCTGTCTGATGCTTTATCTGTCTATGTTCCACTCATCTGTTTTACCGTACTCCTGTCCTTCCTAGTTTCTGCTTCTATTTTAGTATTTGTATTTAGCTAGTATTTGACCTCAGGCAACCAGCATGCCTAGTCTGGTGTGTTAACTGTGCTGCAGTGTCCTAGAGCCATCTGAAACTCACATTAAAGGGGTCATATCATGGAAAACTTGGGAAAAAAAGGAGTTTGATATACTATGAAGAATCAAAACAACATTTATTGAAACTAAACTTAACTATGAGCACATTAACACAAACTCCTATTAAGTATTAAAGACTTGGAATTGTTACGCATTTCACATGCAAAGATGTTAGCCAATCATACTGTAACAAATCTCATTTGCATGAAGCCTTAAAGGTACAGTGGCCAAATCATCCTATTTAATAATGGATGGTGCAGCAAGCAAGTTGCCTGTCCATGCTGAAAGAGAAATTGTTGCTCGATGAGACAAAATCGTGTCTTGATGATTTTGCATCTGTTTGGGATGGCTAAGATTTATTGCTTGTCAATATGGAACAATAAAAAATTCTATAAATGAGACACTGTTAAATCAGTTTTGGTGCAATCTTGACAAGAATTATTAGTTTGACTTAAGGAAAAAATAAAGGAGCTGGAAAATATGACCTCTTTAAAGTTCTAGTGGTTATTATCAGTGTTGGGGGTAACGCATTACAAGTAACGCGAGTTACGTAATCGGATTACTTTTTTCAAAGCCCTGTCCAGATTTAAAAAGTAACGCAAAAGTAACGTAACGCATTACTTTCCATAAAAAGTAACTAAGTAATCTAATTCGTTACTTTTTTATGGAGTAACGCTATGTTGTAATGCATTACTTTTAAAAGTAATTTTCCCCAACACTGGTTATTATACACAGTAGAGAGCCGTCGGTAGTGTAGAGTAAACTGACTTTAGATTTAGATCCATGTGCACTACTGTTCAAAAGTTTGGGGTTGGTAAGAGTTTTTTTTTTAGTGTTCACCAAGGCTGCATTAATTTTTGCAAATATACAGTAAAAACGGTAATATTGTGAAATATTATTGTAGTTTAAAATAACTGTTTTCTGTGTGAATATATTGTAAAATGTAATTATCTTCAGAAATCATTCTAATATGCTGATTTAGTGCTCAAGAAACATTTTTGATTATCAATATTGAAAACAGTTGCTGCCGAATATCTTTGTGAAAACTACGATACATTTTTTTTTTTCAGGATTCTTTGATGAATAGAAAGTTCAAAAGAACAGCATTTATTTGAAACAGAAATATTTTGTAACATTATAAATTAGGTTACTGTCACTTTTGATCAAATTAATGCAGCCTTGCTGAATAAAATTATTCATTTCTTTAAAAAAAAAAAAAAAGAATCTTTTAAATCTTGTTGTTAAATCGTGCTGTATTTTGGTGTTTGCTTGGTTTTTATTTTGTGTTTATGTAACTCTTGTGTTCCAACTTAATTTTTCAATAAAGATGCTGACATGGCAATAAAAATAAATCAATTACTACTTTTGACCCCAAACTTTTGAACAGTAGTTTAGTGCATGCACTTAATAGTGAATCTGAATGCGAGTGTTTTTGAATGCACTTTGGGTTTGTGCATGATGTTATTGCAGTGTTAGGAGTTGTGTGTGTGTGTATTGCATGTGTAGGGCTTGCCATATGGCGTGTGGGTGTTTTTACACCTTCCTGTTTTGGTGTGTCTCGCTGAATATGCACTGCTAGTATAGATGCCAGTATTTGTTTTTTTTTACATGCATTCACATTTATCTTGTGTTGTCTGTGTCTCTCTCGCTGTAGTCCTCAGCGCTGACCGGGTTGAGCAGATGACCAAGACCTACAATGACATTGACGTGGTCACACACCTCCTGGCTGAAGTGAGTGATTGGTCAGCAAACTGTGAGAAAATGCTTTGTCTAGTTTTCGTTAGTAACAGCTCTTGATTGGTTGTCTGTTTGCATTACGGTGTCGTCCCGCAGAGGGACCGCGACCTGGAATTGGCCGCTCGGATCGGTCAGTCTCTCCTGCAGAGGAACCACGTGCTGCAGGAGCGAAACGAATCTCTGGAGGAGCAGCTAGCGCAGGCCATAGACCAAGTACAGCATGCTTTGACATGAAAAAATTTAGGCTAAATGTGTATTAGCTGGCTTCAAAGTCTTACATGTAATCGCTCTATCAGGTTCATCAGCTTCAGCATGAGTTGGCGAAGAAGGATGAACTCCTCCGTATGGTGGCGAGCGCCAGCGAGGAGAGCGAGACCGACTCCAGCTGCTCCACGCCGCTACGTCATCCCGCAGGGGCCGCCCTCAGCCAGCTGGAGGCCCTGCAGTCCAAACTCCTGGAGCTGGAGGAGGAGAACCTGTCTCTGAGATCAGAGGTGCGTCATGAGCTCTGGCTGATATTTCAGGAGCGTAAGGGTTTTATGAAAGCGTGACCTCTGATTTTCTGTCTGATTTTCAGGCCTGTCACCTGAAGACGGAGACCATTACTTATGAGGAGAAAGAACAGCAGCTGGTGAACGACTGCGTTAAAGAGCTACGTGAGTATCTGCGTAGACTGTCAAGCTCCTAATTTAGAGAGTCTGTATACTGTCTACATGGGCGTCTGCCTTTGAAAGCAGCATCATAAACCAAATAAAACCTCATTAACTTTGTCCTTCACAAATGGACTGTTAAGGACCCTTTTTGTCTGTTGAAATACATATATGAAAAATACATGTAACTGCTGTTGATTTTGGCCAGTGTGCAATTTTGGAAGCGCCTTTAAGCTCAAAGAACGCCGATGATGCCTAAAAATGTTGGCTGGGCGGCTCTCTAGGGTTTGAAACAGAGCCTCAGTAAAATCACATCAGCTGTGTTTATATGCAGCTAAATAATCAGATCGGACTGGAAAGTCTTCATGTGAACACCACAATCAGTCCGACTGAGCTCAATCCGAATTAAGTTTGGATTGGAAGGGATGGTGTAAAAATGAAATAATTTGATTAATAGAAAAAAATAATCATGTAAATAATAATCATGAAAACATGCTCCGGTGACATTATGTGACGTCTGGCTGCTGCACATGTGCTGAAGTTTTGTTTGGAATGCATGTTGTGCACATGTAAACAATTATATGAATCGGATTGCTTTAGGGTTCATATAAAGAGAAAGCGGATTGGATTCATTCAGATTGTCGTGCATGTAAATATACGTATTGACTGCTGTAGGTTTATTTATTCGGTGTGTTTAATTAACAGGGGAGTCAAACAGTCAGATGGTGACACTGGCGGATGAGCTCTCCCAGAAGAACGAGGAGTTAATGAGACATCAGGAGGAGATTACACATCTCCTCTCACAGATCGTAGAGCTCCAGCAACGAGTCAAAGAGGTCAGGATGCATGCCATATTTAACACTTTTATTCAGCAAGGACGCATTTAATTGATCAAAAGTGACAGTAAAGACATTTATAATGTTACAAAAGATTCTATTTCAAATAAATGCTGCTCTTTTGAACTTTCTATTCATCAAAGAATCCTGAAGAAATCACGGTTTGCACAAAAATATAAACCGTTTTCAACGTTGATAAGGAGAAATGATTCTTGAGCAGCAAATCAGCATATTAGAATGATTTCTGAAGGATCATGTGACACTGAAGACTGGAGTAATGATGCTGACAATTCTTATATTTTAAAATATATTTAAAATATATTCAAAAAGAAAACTGCTAATATTTCACAATATTATTGTTTTTATTGTATTTTTGATCAAATAAATACAGCCTTGCTGAGCCTAAGAGACATTCAAAAACATTGAAGAAAAACAAACTTGAATTTTACTGTATGTTGATGTATAATTGTGTATGTCTGTGTTTGTTTCTCAGTTGGCACTAGAGAAAGAAGAGCTGAGAATTCACCTGCAAGCCTCAAAGGAAGCACAACGGCAGCTCACAGCAGAGGTACAATGCATACTGCAGCTCAAACAGCTCTGCGTCTGCAAATCTGGATTAAGACTGATCATTCCGATTAAGTTTTACTTAAATACAGTGTTTTAAGGATTAATCCACTTGCTTTAAGATCTTAAAGCATTTTCAAGTTTTAAGGCAAAGCAGCTTAGTCACTGTGACTTAGAGAAGGCTGTAAACTCATGTAACTTCATTCATTCATGTGGTGTGTCCGTCTCATCATTGCACTTGAAATGTGTCCATAAAGGCTGGAGTGTTATAACGTGTTACAGGACAGAGTTGGTTAATAAATGCAGTGACCATAGTGACCTGGAAGTGTTGTGGTGATCATGTCTGTAATCTCATGTATAAATTGTCCCAGACGTAACTGCAATAAACAATATGGTTGTCATTTTAAGACCATTTTATGAAACGCATCTAAACACAATGGGAAAAATAAAAATGATCAAGGTCGTACAATAAGTCGATAACGTGATTATGGTATTATGAGACATCCCAGCGGCCCGTGGAATATAAACTGTGTCTGTGTGTTTTAGCTGAAGGAGCTGTCAGACAGGAATGCAGAGTGTGTGGGAATGTTGCACGAGTCTCAGGAGGAGATTAAGGAGCTGCGCAGTAAGAACACGCCATCTGCAGGCCTGGGCAGACACCTGTCGTACGGACTCTATGCTATGGTGAGAGACCTCCACACCTCCAGCTCTCTCACACACATTTGTTTGTTAAAATGACATTTTTTCCAATCACATCTGTTCTTAATACAAGCCAGTTCAGTAACCTGCATATGTTAGATATGTTAGATATTCTTAATGCATTAATCTATTATATATTTTCATAAATAATTATAACCGTTATACTTCTATAATAGTGCATGAAATTTGGTGGCGATCGTGTGTTTTAATGGGTGGGTATTGTAATTTGGGCTATAATTAGGCATGTTTAAATAAATATTAAAAAAAGAATGGATGTATATATGATTGTATTATTATTGTATTAATTATTATTATGTAACATAATAGTGGTTACAATTATTTGCAAAAACATTGTATATATAGTATAGACATATATATATATATATATATATATATATATATTAAAGTATATAGAAATGGAGAACCTCCCACAACTTCCCAGCATTATGTTTTGCATTGGCAAGCACAACTGTCAAGTTTTATTAAAATTTGTTGTTGTTGTTTGGTTTATTTCATTTTGTTTCATTTTACTTGTTTATTTTATTTCATTGTAATTTCTTGTTTATTTGTTTTATTTTGTTGTATTTCATTTTGTTTTTATTTCACTTATTCATTCTGCTTCATTGTTTTTATTTCATTTTTCTTTTATTTAATTTTATTGTTCATTTTTCTTTTTTTGTTATTGAATTTTATTCAGGTTTTTATTTTATTTTGTGTGTGTGTGTTATTTCATTTTTTATTTAGTTTAGGTTTTTTTCCATTTTTCAATGTTTTTGTTTATTTTATTTTATTTATTTTTTTACATTTTATTTAATTTGTGTTTTATTTTATTTATTTTTAATTCATTTCATTTGATTTTGTTTTTTATTTGTTTTTAAATAACACTTATTTTTGCATGAACCCGTCTCTGTCTCTTTGCTTTGAGTTAACAGTTCTATAATCATTGCTCATTTTTTGTGTCCTTCAGGATTCTTTGGCAGCTGAGATTGAAGGTAGTATGAGAAGAGAGCTGAGTGTAGAAGAGGAAATCACCTTTCAGGACCAGAGGTAATGCTCACCATTCTCCCTCACACACAGAGTTATGTTTATAATAGTCATTTTATCCTTCAGCAGGACTGACCTTTGACCCCTGTCTGCTCTGTCTGAAGGTCGACCCATAAGCGTGTGTTCCAGACGGTGCGGTCTGTCAATCAGTCGGTGATGAGAGCAGCTGCCGCAGTGCCTCCGATCCCTGGCTCCGCCCGCAGCGGCGTGGTCATGACCCCAGTGCCCTATCAATCACACACACCCAACACAGAGGAACGAGATGGAGACGTGGACACCACCAAGTGAGTGTGACTGCACAATGTGTTTATACCCACAATGCTTTTGTGTGTTTCTAACGTGTGTGTGTGTGTGTGTGTGTGTGTGTGTGTGTGTGTGTGTGTGTGTGCGCGTGCTGCAGAGAGAACTCTCGTCTGGGTCAGCCCGGCTCTCCCAGAGGAAATGACCTTACGTCAGCCCTAAACTGCCTCTCCCTGCGGAGGCAGAACTTCCTGTGCGAGCGACAGTTCTTCCAGGTTGAAAGAGAGCGGAAGCTGCAGGAGCTGGCGGCTGCGGAGTCAGAAGGGGGCGGGAGCAGCTGCAGTTCACCAATGGGAAGCACCGTCTCATCTTTCACCAACCTATCAGAGTTCTCCATCTCCTCCAGCTGTTTCAAGACATTTCTGCCTGAAAAACTGCAAATTGTTAAACCAATGGAAGGTGAGTAGAGGATAGTGTGCAGAAAAAAGAGCCAAGTTTTGTTTAGTTTTTTTGTTTTTTGGCATGTACTTTTTGGTTTATGTTCATAAGGGATTAAACAAAGTGTTAACTAATCCCTGTATGCGCTGTGAGCATTTCCTGTAGCACTTTATGGCTTAATTCATAAATTAGTTTCAGCAAGTTAAATGTTATTTTTAGATCATTTATTAATCTAGATTATTGTATAAATATATTATTGTTAATGTGTGTTCATAAAATATATTAATATTAATATACGGTTTAAAACTGTTCAAATGTATTAGAATACACTACACCATTCAAAAGTTTAAGGTCAGTAAGATTTTGAATGTTTTTGAAAAGTCTTTGTGTCCTAACCAGACGTGACGTGACAAGATTCCAGCGTCAAGCAATTAGGCTGTCCACACCAGACGCGACACGACATCGAGATGCGACAGAATCACTCAAATATCACAGCCATTCAGAAGCGTACAGCACTCCCAACAAAATGGACACGTTTAGCATCTAATCATCTAATATTAAACCTTTTTACCATAGTTTGTATGTTGTTGTTCTAGCCACGACGTCGCAGAAATAGAAACTTTGCGTTTGATCAAAAATACAGCAAAATAAGTAATAATGTAAAATATTATTGCAATTTAAAATTTGCAATTTTCTATATGAATATATTGTAAAATGCAATTTATTCCTGTGATGAAGCTGAATTTTCAGCACCATTACTCCAGTCTTCAGTGTCACATGATCCTTCAGAAATCATTCTAATATGCTGAATTGCTGCTCACGAAACTGTATTATTATTATTATTAAAAAATTTCTTATCCATGGTAACAAACTTTTGAACAGTAGTGTATATGTAGAAATTTAACATTTAACGTTAATTAATAAATTCTGTTGCAATATTGATCATTGTTCATGATGCCTAATGTTACCAAATTGCATATTATTGTAAAGTGTTACCCTGTTTCTTGAGTATTTGTTCCTGTTGGCTTGATCTTCAGGTTCTCTGACTCTTCATCACTGGCAGCAGCTCGCTAAACCTCACCTGGCCACCATTCTAGACCCCCATCCGGGCGTAGTTACCAAAGGCTTCCGCCCTCTCCCTCAGGACAGTGTTTACCACCTGAATGACCTCGAAGAGGACGAAGACCAGGAGAAACTACCATGGGAACATAAGAGAAAAGAGGAGGAGCCACAGGATGCAAAGATAAAAGAGGAGGAGGAGGAGGAAGGAATCACGTTTAATGTGCGCTCATCGTCAACTCCGGAAGAGAAGAGAGAGAGGAGGTGTGTCCAAAGTCCAGCTAATGTCCCGCTCCTTCCTGCATCCCTCAGGAATTCCCCTGTGCCCATAGCAATGGCTGTTTCCTTAGCAACAGCAGTTAACCTGACAGCCAGCGCTGCTCCTGCAGTTAGTTCTGGAATCTCAGGATCAGCGGCTCCACAGTTTGAGCTGAATCTCGGATGTAAAGCGCCCTCTACAGGTAAATAACTGTCACTGCAGACACCCATTTGCTTTCCAGTTCCTGTATAATAATGCATGTTTGTTGATCACTTTTTGTTTGTTTAGCTATAAATCCTGGGAAATATCAGAGCTCCACTTTTTCCACATACACCTTCACTACCTGCCGGATCCTGCATCCTAGTGACAGCACACAGGTGACACCCAGGTACAACATCTATCACCACTAATAAACAGCAGGTTAAAGGCTTGTTCACGCCGGGACGAATATGGCACGCGATTATCGCCGACGTTTAACGCCTCGTGACTAAACAAAGGGCGCCAATGTGAGTGTGCACACCGACGCGCAAAACGCGAGGCGTAAAATCGTCATTTTTTTAAAAACGCCTCGGGCTCGTTTTTTTTGGTTTGACGCACCACGTTAAAAACTGGCCGACCAATGAGACTGGCACTTTTGTTCACGTGCCTGGAGCTGCTGAAGTTACAGTAAAACACGACTTGGTGGCGCTCAAGCACAAAACGGTCTTGCCGGGCACACATTGATACCTAACGAAGTAGACCAAGAAGATGCATGGCAAGATGAATGTAGAGCTGCTGGTCTCATTGGTGTCTGAACACAAAGGGCTTTATGACAAACGCGACAGCGACTACAAAAATCTCAATAAGAGGGAGTTGTTATGGAGAGGAATTGCAGATCAAATAGGATTCGATGTGTACCGGGGTATTTCTGTTTTTCATTAAGCGCCATCTAATGTCAGGGAGTGAATTTGCACGTTCACTCGGCTCATCGCCTGCGAAAATTGCTTGGGTATGAACACAAAAGACGCGTCGAAAAAACGTCGGCGATAAGCGTGCGCGATAATCGTCCCGGTGTGTACAAGTCTTAAGGGTGTGAATCATTTTAGAACTGTCTTTATTTTTGCTGTTGTGTTCGGTGCCTTACTGAACTGCACATTTTTACTTTAGTAAGTCAGGAACCATCAGATTTTAGTATGCAAGTGAGTTGGAGACTGATTTGTTCATTATAAAGAACTTTTATGTAGAAACTAATAAAAAACACAAAAAAGAACCGGTTCAAAAGAGTCATACGCTGATGAGTGAGAGTGGTTGCACTGTATGTTTGTTA